AAGCATCATACATCGAGACTAGATATTAGGTATACTTGGGGGACAGATCTCAATACAAGGACAATACTTTCGAAGCACGAATTCCGTAATTGCGATCGTTTTCTCACTATGGACGTCCTAAGAAACTACTCTAGAAGTTCGTCAACGAAACGACGACGGGCCCGTTCGAAACTCGACTCTGTAGGTGTTCAATAGTGGGAAAACGGCCGTAACTACGTATTTCGTGCATCGAGAATAAGGTCCCAGTTCCGTTATTATTGTGACAAAGCTTTTTATATCTGTAGTCAATGATATTATACTTGTGAACAACCTCACTGTCTGTAGCTATCTAAAGTCCAACAAATTTAAAAATTGCTCTGTACTCGATCAAAATGTATTCAACATTTTGAGTGCTTAGGTTTTCGCGACTGTTACACATTGGATGTGAAACTAGTTTTTCGGATTTAAATCGCGTATACTTGTTTTTCAAAGAGATAAACGTTTCGGACCCTTTGCAGATCCCATCACGTGTTTGAAAACATAAATACGCTATTTAGATCTGAAATAAAAAAGACCACTAAAGTTTGTGGAATTATATTTATTTGCCAAATTTTATTATTATTCGTAACTCAAAATTGTGTCAAAAGATTTGACAATTAATTAAAAAAGAAATGAAACCAATATTTATATGTATACCGGGTGGAAATTTGTAATGCCACCTGGCCCTTCAGGTGGCATTATAAATTCGATTTCCGCGTGTGGCTAGCAATTTTCGAAAATCTTTGAATGCAGTATTATTTCTTTTTAAAAGGAATGTTTCCTTTAAGTAAAAATTTCTATCTCCAGTATTTACGTACTTTCCTTCCAAGTAGCATTACAAATTTCCACCCTGTATATTCTCTTATAAAAAAATTCACATTATTCGCAATAAGATCCATTATTTATTTATTTTAATTTTCAAATTGCGTTTTCTCAATTCCACAATTTTCAGTTACGACAGTATTTGGTTTCATGTGCGAAATATTTAATCGGTTAACGGAAAGTGAGTGAAATCCATTAAATTGTATTCATCCCCTAATTTGCCAATTTTAGAGGTGGAATATTTTCTTAAAATTTGAATGGGATCAATACTGACGTATCCCCCTTCCAACAAAAAAAAAGAGAATCATCGAAATCGGTTCACAAATGACGGAGTAATCGCGTAACACACAAAAAAGAGAACAGAAATACAATTGATAATCTTTTATCATCAACCCATTTATATGTCCCACTGCTGGGCACGGGTCTCCTTTCAAACGAGGGTTTAGGCCATAGTCCGCCACGCTGGCCCAATGCGGGTTGGGGACTTCACACGTTTTCCGAGGGTTGTGAACCTTCTTCAACGTGCAGGTTTCATCACGTTGTTTATCTTCACCGAAAATCTTATGGTAAATTTCAAACTAAATTTCGCACATAAATTCCGAGAAATTCAGAGGTTCGAGCCCGGATTCGAACCTACGACCTTCTGCTTGAGAGGCAATAGGTCAAACCAGTAGGCTACCACGGCTTCTATAATCTTATAAAGATAATCTTTTAAAGTCGGTTAAATATAGTTTCATTTCCAATGTGTCCAATTGTTTTTTCCGCGATTTTACAGAACCCCTTTGTTTTTTGCTGAATTTACCCATTAAATTGTTTCAGCTAATTTCGTTGGACCTTAAACAGAATGGATGAAATGGTCGTCTTATTCAGGATAACAAACGACTAAATTGTCTGATATTGTATAGAAATTTCTTTATAATCTATTTTGCCGTTTATTATTAAGAGGGGTATGAACACCTACCGAAATACCGTCTAATCTTTTTATTGTTTAGTGGAAATCAGTGCAGCCGTATATCTGGGGTTTTTAATTTCATTATTAAATTAAAATGTGTTCTGGGACCTATTTATTCTGAAAGTTGCTATATCTTTAAGGAAACAATATATTTGTACCTATTTAAATTACAAAGCTAAAGTGCTCCATGCACTACCCAGCGTGATTAGGACAAAATAGTATGAAAAAACTATTGTCTTTTCATACTATTGCATACGAGTGCATCGGGTTCCAAATAAATTAAAAAGTATTGAACTGTCTCTCCATGCCTGTCATCATGTTTGGAAGTGAATGGGGCTCTATACGATTTTAACTATATTGTATTATTGTAAACGAAATTCCGAATTCTTTGCTTTATTCATGACTGACATTATGTAACTAATTGATTATCTAAGACTCAAAAGGCCTATGTATCAAGTCGTATGAATATTTTTACATTTACATTGCGTTCGCTTTTGTATATTTCGTAGTTTAAAAAACTTATTTATTGCAAAGCATTTACTTTTTTTTAAATTTAAGGGTTCCTAGATGACTGTGGAGCCCTAAAAACAGTTTCCATAGCGAAACAAATCTAGTCGTGTGTACTACCACATTGTCAATTTTCGATATTGGAAATGTAAACACAATGTGAACAACTTAAGGTCCATATTTATTCAAGGCATTGAACCTAGACTAATAACAGCCTAAACTACTGGGCTTATGGAGGACATGAGGTCACTGCGGCAAGATGCCAAAATTGCTGGCAGTGTTTTCTCCTTTAAAGCCATGCTAACACTTTAGACTATGTAACAGCCGACTCTGGGGTCTGACATGCGGTCCATTTACGGTGTATGCAAATGTGCTATAATCCGACTGCATCTGGACTGCAAAATTGAAGTTGAAATGGATTCGTTAATCGTTTTACATGCATTTGGCCCGACTGCATCGCAACTGATAACTGTAGTCCGTCTGCAATCGGTGATTGCCAATACTGATTGCTACTGCATAAATAGCAGTTGCCAATGTAGTTGGAAATCAGCTTGTATTTCTATACAATTAGGGTCTGATTATCTTATTTTATATTTTATTGAAAAATTGACGTAACTATCAAGAGTGTCTCATACGTAACTTTTTATTGAAACTTGTGAAAATGTTTGATTACGGTGCCAACTTAAATTAATTAAATAGGTGCTTAGGTTTAAGAAGCATTTTGTAATTTAAAAAAGTGCATTTTATGCAAAAAAGAGCCTGTCATTTTCAATATTCGAATTTTTATTGTCTGTTTATACTTACTTTTTCTACAGGCTACTTTAATAATGTATACTTATTTATTTTGCTGTTTGTACAATAACTAATAACAAAAAGGTCTAAATCACAAATAAAGTGCAAATAACAAGTGTCCTAAATTCAAATTAATAGTGAATGTATAATGTATGTATATAAAATGTAATTCTACCTAATTATATAATAATTAAAAATATGTGGTATAATAAGAGTATTTTATTTCTCTACTAAAACAGAATTGCACTTCTTATCTAATATTTGAGATTGATATATGTATAAGATAACATCTATTATTGACGGCTTAACGGTTTTCGGTGAAACGTAATGGATGAATAGCTTCAATAATGGGTGGATAGTTTCAGGAATGGAAATCGGCGTCACAACTATTGCTGGCCGTGTTAGACAACATGTTGCATGGTAATTTTTTCCGCAATTTTACGTCAAAATTGTTGTATGACATGTCGGATAATAATAGCATTCATTGTCCGACTGACGTCCAAAACTGTTTGTCAGCAACTTGCACAACGTGTAAGTCGGATTTCAGACAGATCAGATTAGATTTCTGTAGCAGTAGAGCTCCTTATAGGTAAGGTTCACAACCTTACCTATTTATGCCGCCAAGCAGTAATGTCAGCATTACTGTGTTCCGGTTTTGAAGGGTAAGGGTACTGATTAAAATTACAGGCATATGGGACTTGTCAACTTATGTCTTAGGGTGACGAGCGCAGTGGTAGTGCCCCTCAGATATTTGCAATTTAAAGCTCTGAATGGCACTGCTGTTATGGACAGGTGTGTAGCTTACCATCAGGCGCACGACTTGTTCGTCCCGTCACTTGATGTTATACATATTAAAAAAAATCATTTAACTCGTGACTATTTAACCATGAACCTCCGCTGCTATTTCATCTATGCATCTATATTATATCTATTACTATTATAACAAACTGTTGGAGTAATTTCACAAATAATAATGTATGATGTAGTTTTTATTATACAGGTAAGGTAAAAAAGATAATAAAAGCTTAAATACTAGAAAGTAAAACTAGGATTTTTAAATTTCATGAATAAAATTGGGTCCCCGCGGCAAGGTGCCCAAGTTGCCCAAGTTGCCGCGGCAGCGTTCCCCCTGTATCGCTATGCTAATGCATTGGGCAAGGTAGCTGCCGACCCTTGGGTTTCCCAGACAGTCTGTTAATTTTTTCGATAAAATTTTGTACAGATGAAGAGCACTGAGATCCCACGGGCTAAGAGTTTCAACTCCAAAAGCTGTAAATAGGTAGTCGGACCCCAGATCCTGGTACTTATTACTTTTTATTCTTTCTGCCAGCTCGGCTGCGGAGCCAGCCCTCTTACTGGTGTGCTGGAGATGGGATGGGGCAAGTGTGTCGGCACATGTGGCGTCTCACATCAGTGCCCGGCCCATACTCCAAGGGATGAGAATATGGTGGTGGATCAGGGAGAAGCAATTTTGCCTTTGGTCATACGAGAGAATGTGGTTTTTAATGAAAAATTGATTTCATAAAGTCTTAGTATTAAGTTAGTATTTATGAAATCTATAGATATGGTGGGCCACACCTAGAGATATGGGTATTATGATTATTAGGCATATTTCTTCGTTGAAAATTATATTTTACGTCGTTTGCAGTTGAAAAAATACAGTTTGTCTATCTGACTTTATGGCTGAGTGTACAATTTGAATTTTATTTGTGAAGGTACTCTTTGTGAAAAAAAGTTGATTGTTTTACTTTTGCGTTTGCGTTTAGAGAAAGCTAAAATTTAATTAAAAAAAACAAGAGTGTGTAAATTGAGAACGAATGCAAAAGTGATTCACTAAACTCAAGAAGCTATTGGCTAAACTCATATTATAACTAATCGAACAACCAATGAGCATCGAGGTTAACTTTGACAGCCACTTGTGGTTGGTTCACATTGAGGCGAACGTGCAGGAAGAAATAAGAACCGATTTATTATTCACTTGCTGTTATCGAGCCATCGTGATTTTTTGAGGCGATACATATAAATAATAGTGAGTATTTTATTGTATTTTCTTTTATTTATGTTATTTTTTAGCCAAATCAACCTTCTACATGTTATAAGTAATGTTCAATTTTAGGAAACAACATGAAAAAGTTGTTATGTAAGAAGGTAATCCATAATCTGTCACCCTAAGTTAACAGATAATTCACGGTTTTCAGGACTTTACTTGAAATCGTAGGTAATTGATAATTAACAATTTCTATATTATGGGATGGGATTATTTATTAGAAGACTTTTGCTATAATTTAATTATAAAAAATGGAAAAGCAAGAGATTGAAAATCGAATTTCAGTGTCAGAATTCCATTTTTGAATTTTTTGGTTAGTTTTCTGTACGCACTGTCCTGTACTTCATACGTATGAAGATATTAAAGAGAATATTTTTTCTGTCCCGTAATATAAGCCTAAACATTTATATTCAAAGAGAAACTGTTCCTTAATGCCACTTTAATAAACAATCTCCCTATTATTCTGCTCCAATACAGGTAAATGCTCTTAAAACAAATTATTACCACATAACTTACTTCATATAGAGTAATAAAATATACAAACACATCAAGCGTGCCGACCTTTGGGTTGGACTCCTTTTGTACCAGGCTCACTTCCTTTCAGGCATACTTGTTTAGGATTTTTTTACTATGTTATGAAATCTCCTTTCACATTTAGTTACTAATCTAAAAATTGTATTACCAATTTTTGTTTTGTAAGTACTTGCCTCTCCCACCTTAAAATGTGTGTAATGTTAAAATTTTATAAATATTATTATTTTGAATGAATTTAATGCATGTCTTGGATTGTTTCATATATGTATTTTGTTGGTGTAAATTTATTAATCTATTATAAAAAATCACTCTGTAATTTGCTATGCCCTTAAAGGGCGTCCCAGGATACTTTTCAATAATCTACCAACTTAAATTGTATTTTGTATGCTTTAACTGTGACATGCAAATAAATTATTTGACTTTGAATTTGAAGCCTCCAGGGCAGGGAGCTACAGAGTCATAGATATCCCAAATTGGTCCCAACTGTCCCCACAGTGGGCACTGAAGAGTCCTAGGGCAGTACCTTGGAAGGAAATTGGGGGGCGTTGATGCTGTCCAGGAATGCTACCACATTTGAAAACAACAATAAATTTTTTACAAAAAGAATTGACTTCAAAAGTTTGTGGAAATACATCTATTTGCCAAGTTTTATTGGGCTCGGGTACTGGAAAGGGCACGAAACTGGGGACCCACCCCTAGTTTGCTACCCTTACAGGTGGATTATTTTTTTCCAATTTAAATGGGACCAATACTGAGGCACCCGACATTTTTTAACGGCGTTTTTTTAGTATATTATTTAGTTTCAGTTTTATTGTTAAGCAAAATTTTTTTTTAATAATGATAACTAACGCACTCACTGATAGCCCCGCACTAGGGAAACCTTGTATCGCGGGTGCCATCACTTCACAAAGAGATACGTAGGCAATACAAATATTTCTTTCGGCTTAGGAAACATACCCGGGACCTCGGCGTGACAGGCATGGTAACCGTTCACCCTTGGAGGCAGTATATTGCTTTCCAACATCATTTATAATTGCACTATTTGCACCCGAATGAATATACTAAATAAATAAGCTGTGATATAATAAAATTTAACACATTCACAATATAGTGAAAAATTAGTTATTTTGGTTTACGCCATTATTCTTAAAGGGTGCGACGTATTCCGCGATGTATGATGAATTAATGAGTGAGCGCAATTTTTATTCCGATTTTGTCTTTTTTTTTAATAATAACTCAAAATTCCGTACAGATGGCTGGAGAAAAAGCCGTGTCGACTGCTGCGAAGCCTCAGTTGCGTGGTCTACTGAATTCAACCATCAAGCGCAACCTGATTGTGTCCCTGACTCTTGCTGCCATCTCCGGTATCGCCTTCAAGCAGCTTGTTGGAACTCAACGCAAGCAGAGATATGCTGAGTTCTATAGGTATCGACTTTCTTTTATTATTAACTAGAAACCTTAAGGCTTAATTTACATTACCGCGGAACGGAATGGAAGCGAGTTTTTGTAACGAAATTATACATAGCATAATGAGCTCTATGTCAATTGTGTAATGTACAAACTACGGTACGGTTGCTGCAGAAATTCTCGATATTATTCGAGAATTCTTCTGAAGACGTCCCAATTGTTTTCTGGCTTTTATCTAATTTATAATTTTGTACGTTACTTAATTGACTTAAGCAAAGTTCATTATGCCATGGTTACAAAAAATCACCTTCATTCTATTCCGCGGTAATATAAATTGAGCCCAAGGGTAGGCACTAATTAAACTGAAAAACCGCGGCTTAATATACACACGCACTAGTACATTCTATTGTGAGAATTTGTTCAAATATCGCAACCACCTTGCCTTCTAACTGTTAAGGGCATCTCTAGAGCCTTAGCACTATTCCTGTTATTACTATGGCAACGCTATTATTCAATTTGCATTGGTGCACATATTAAACGATTAATCATCTCAAATATTTGTTACAACTTTGTAATAATCTCAACATGGTAGCAGAGCGTATAAATAAATAATAATAGTTAATTATTAATTTAAATGCGTGAATCGTCACGCATTTAAATTAAGAAAAAAACTGTAAATAAAAGGAAAAATACATGAAACAAGAAAATGGCACTGCGTCAACCGTACTTTCAATACTAAATGCAAAAACAAATTTCAATAACTGGTAATTTCGCCTAAAATTAATCTTAGAAGAGAAGCAAATAAGTTAGGTATTGGTACTAAAAAAAAAATTAAACAGCCCAAGAGATGATGTGAGAGCTCGATTCGTAACAGTCTCAGCTTATCGGACAAATAACATCGGATATTGTAAAAAAAAGCAAAACAGAAGTTGTACTAATACTAACCACGCACAAAGTACGTTGTTTTACACAATTAAGTAATTTCCGCTACATTTGTTTCCGGTCCCCAAATTGTCGTCATTGACTCAGGAAATACCACACTTTATGTTTTGGGGAACTTAATAAATAACAAACGCCAATGAAATCAAGTCATGCTTGTGTCAGAGTTTTCTAACCTGTAATCCGTAGATTAGTGTAAGTCCATAGGAGTCTGCAGATCCATAAAATAAGACTAAAAAAACTAAGGTTTTTATCATTGATGGAAACCGCTTTTTTAATATTGTAATTGGACTATAGCTATTTACTTATTTTCCAGGACATACGATGCTGAGAAGGAGTTCGAAGAAATGAAGAGCAAGGGTCTGTTCCAATCGTGCTGAACGACAAATCTGTAGAGTAGTATTATTTTAATTGCTGTGAATACATACAATATGTTAAAATAACTTAATAAAATCTAATACATTTAATTTGTTGTTTTTTGTTTTGTAACACAAGGTCTGGTCCTATGTCTAGGCAGAACTTGACTGATTAGGTGCCATCGCCATTCGTATTTCTACCGTAAAGGAGCACGATTCTGCTCCGGATCGTAATGTAGAGAGAGCCAGCACAATCATAGACACAGGAGACTTACTAATAGTAAGTCGCTATCATAGCTGTAAAAATCAGTATGCCCGGTTCCCGGATTTCGGCACCATGTAAAGTCACTTTATATTATTAAAACATATAATATTTATATATATTAATATTATTGAAACGATAGTTTTAAACTGTATTACTTTTTTTGCTACCGTAGCACTTTGCCTGACACAGTTTATGTCTTTGACATAGTATAGTGAACTTTATGTCAGTTGTGTGACGTGCAAACTAGATGCGAGCCAAAAAAACAAGTCGCGCGTCTTCTGGAGAAATTTTGCGCAATCCCGGGAATTCCCGCAACTACCGTATCGTATTTAGCTTACATTATATTATATTACGTTACACAATTGACATGAAGGTGCCTATAGGTACGCTCGATGATCAAACAAAATCGAATAAATGTGTAAGTAACTGACGGTCGACTATGTATTTTTTGACGCTCGACGTTGTGAAATTTAAATTAGGCGTAGATGTAGTACAAATTTGTTCGATTTTACCTCGAAATTTATTCATCGCCAACAAGTCATAGTATAACGATCACGAATATCGTGCAAATAAACTTCCGTCTGTTGACCTTCGGTTGACTACTTCGCCTTGCCGAAGGTGACGCACCCAATTATTGCGGTCGACCGTCGTTAGACGACTTACTATTTACACCGGACAGCTTGCCACCTTCGGCGGACAAGCGAAGGTCGCTTGACGACTTGGTGTAAATGCACCACTATGCTATGTACAATTTCGTTTCAAAAATTTGCTTCCATTCCCTTCCGAGGAAATGTTAAGTGAGCCTTAAGAATTGAGGTCCCACGGCCGGCAAAGCATTTATAATAGGCAGAAGTTACCAGATATTATCTGTTATAAACAGGTATTTACTACTTTCGAGTTTATTAAATGTAGACAAAATCTGATGATTACACTCAGACGTTTTGCAAACTTGTTCGTTGAACGCACCTTTGCTCGAATTGTCAGTTGGTCGGCCATTTGATAAATCATACTTAAGACCTGGCTTGAGCATTGAGTAGAGTTCTAGAATACGACCCTTAGACTATGGAAACTAATTTTTTTTCCATCCTCTAAGATTTAAATATAAGAACGACGGTTGAAACAAAAGACACGATTTTGAAGAGACGACAAATATATAGAGTATTTATCTTTAAAAATAAAATAAGTAGGTAACACAATTGCCGTTTCTGGGTTATCCATTTCATTTTCTAATTGATTCTATCATAAAAACATGAAAAATACTTTATGTTTTTGTGGTCAGGACAACAAAACGTTGGAAACCAAGGAAACGTACAAATTTTCTTTTTTCTTAAAGACAAAAAGGGAACATTGTATTTCAAATCAATAGTATATTTCAATCAAAATTATGAAATTAAAGCACTATGTAGCTACGTAAATAGGCAGATAGGTAAATATCACTGTGACAGTAACCACAAAGGTAAAATTTCAGAGGTATAGGTAGCTACACCCTACACCATACTGCGATAAGAAAGGACTCGATCCGAACTTGGTTACCTTAAGTCATTGTATGATTTAACAGTCAGACGATTTGATGACCTTGTAAGGCAAGTTACAATGATATAAAGAGTCGATACTTATATTCAATGTACTCTGTGATACTACCTCAGCTCGAGTTCAATTTTTTCGTTAGCTACGGGAAAAAAGGCAAATCTTCATTTTGCTTGGGTCGAGCAGCAGGGACACTAGCTTTATTTCAGATTTTATTTTTTTTACAAACGAAATTAAATCCATTTGAAAAATGTGTATCGTATATTATACGTGTGCTATTTAGTTCAGTTGATATAAAAAAAAACCTGTACCTATTTAATATATCGCAGGCAGACATGAAAATAATAATATGCGATTAGGTAAATTGTATAATTTTATTTTTTAAGTTTAAAGAAAAAAACCACGAATTTTCCTTTTTCAATAATTTAATCAGGACATCAAGTAATACGTAACTTTCCAGAATACACAAATAAGTTTTAACAATTCAATCGATTACAACGTCTTATTGATTATTTTACATTCCTTATGATAATTTCTAATTGATCTACGCAAATTTACTTAATTGTAGAATATCAGGACAGGGACCAGCCTGTTGAGTTACATATAACACAATAAAAAAAATATTTTATAAATGCGATCCGAAAACTCCATTTTTGTCGTTCCAACTTTATAGAACTTCTATTGTATTTATTTTAATTCCCGCTCTTGGTATTGGAAGAATGTTATTGGTTCATTTTGGCCATTATTATTTGGGCCATAATTTGTAGGCTAACTTGAAAAAAAATTTAAAATTTCTAACCAATCACAACGGAAGCGAATTTTTTGCGAAAATGGATCGCATTTTTTGTAATTTTTAGACGAATAATTTCATTTTTTTTATAGGAGCGAATGAATTGTATTAGTATTTTTAATTTATTTGCATCGTGGACTAGAATGTGCCCGTCAATTAATTTACTACTTTATGTGATGGGACCGAAAATTCGTTAATCCCTCTATGTCTAAAACAGGCGGAATTTAAATTAGTTACGTAGATAAAAAAATTTGTTCACAAAATAAATTAATCCAAAAATATTACAAATCGTCAATAGATTATAAATATGGCAGCAAAAGTTTTATTTGACTGTCAAAAGACATGGTGCTTTTTACGTTAATGTATTATGAATTATGTTTTTTGAATGTCGCTTTAAGGTCTCTAAGGTAAAGAGATGATTAATTCTAATTTCTCTGTTGGAGAAAGAGATATACATATATCGAGTTCTTAGGTTTTCGCGATTGTTACATATAGGAAATGAAACTATTTTTCCGGATTTAAATCGCGTATTTTATATGTAATTTTTAAACAAATAAAAAAGAGATATATATTTTAGAGAAATATTTTGTCGGGCTGTACATTTAGTTTTATATTTTAAATAATTTTAATATATAATTTGTCGTTTGGTATGCGATTACGACAGAATCTGACAAATCCTTACATTAGTATAGAATATTAGAATATAATTAGATTATTATTACATTGCTTTGGTCGAAAGCCTCCTATAGCTTTTGAGGTAAGCGTACACAATCAGTGATATAAAAAAATAACAGTTTTCTTGCAGCACTTCGATTCTCTAAGCGCCGCTGTTAATAATGAGACGAATAATATTTAGCCATATATTTTTATTTTACGGAACGAACAACTCACAAGTGTCTCAATTAATACCTGGCTATATGATCAATCGATTGTCAATGTTATGTGCTGTTACAACATTCTAAGCTCCATTGTAGGTGTAGAAGGCGCTACTATGTCTTAAAATTAACACTGAACCAGAATCAGAATACTAACCGTGTTAGGTGAAACACAACCAAAGAGAATTGATATATCTTTCCAGCTCAGTGTTGCCGTGTAAACCACCGTTTCTACTAATTTATCTATCAAACTTCCGACAATTTTTACTAATGACAGATATTAGTGGTTTCAGCGGCAACACTGGGCTGGAAGAATCACTTCGAATTTTTTCCATCCTTTATGCTTCGACCGCTGAATGTTTAAAATTGTAACAGTGGTGCCGTTTAAATTCTGCAATGTCAACTGTTTTCAATGAGATTCGAGGATATAAGAATAGGGCTCGAAAAAGGTAGCTGCTATTTGCTGCACAGAGATGTGGAAGAATTTACAATTAACCGGTAAAGGTTTCAATACCGGTTTCCGAAAACATGTAAATTCGTATTAATCATATTTACATGTACTTTGTGTTCATTTTTGCACATTTTAAAACGCCTATAACCTTTGGAGAATACCAACGTCATTGTTTACAATAGAATAGTTTAATGAGTGGTTAAGGTTTATCGCGCTCTAGCTCTATAAACAAATCAACGCATGAGAAACGTACGAAAGGCTAATATTTCTTTATTCTAACTAGTAAATGTAACAGTATAAACAAATATATTTTGTAAGTTTGTTATACTTGTGCATTATTTTCTATTGTGCATCATTAAATTTAATCATTTTTCAAACATTAATCTATTTTTATATCATAAAGTTAATTTTTATTAGTCATTTTATAAGCTATGTTCTTATTTTATTCTTTTAAATTACCTACAAAAGATGGCAGTTAAAATAAAATGGGACAGTCTCAGAGAAGTTGGCGTTTTTGATGATTTAAAAAAAATACACAATAATTTGAAGGCCTATCCGACAGCACAGCACGCTATGCACGCTAAAAATTATACTACTACAACAGAAAAGGTAAAAGTAGACCACCAGTAGGTAAGCATTTGTTGCCATCACGTACACAAAGTACGTACTCGAGCTGTGAACTTCATCCAAAACGACCGCACTTTTACAGCTGTTTTGCAGTTTGCAATCCAGTTTTAATGCGTAACTACACTTTAAATCGCAATTAATTGGTCTATTGAAAAGTCAATCTTACGTTACATCCTTTACAAAGTTTAAAACTGCAAGACCAAATGTGCCGGTATAATGTTATTTAGTGTCTGGACGTATACATTAAACGCATGCGGCTCTGTCAGAACTGTAATGATATTATATTTCATTTTATTGTACAATAACTACCAAGCGTAACCCATGAGGCGTTTTTTAGAAAGAATTTTGGGAGGAAGTATATGGTCAAAAATCTAAAAGAGGTTATAAAATTCTTATAAATAATAATATTTTTCATTTGTGTAAAGTAAAATAATCTGTGTCTGATCCCACTGATCTGAATATTACTGATATAAACTGATATAAATGTTAGTTTCTAAATGTAATAGTAGTAAATAACTTAGTAGTAGCTTTAGTAGCAGCAGAGCTCCTAGTGATAGAGTTCGTCCAAGGTTCGTACACCTTACCTATTTCTGCCGCCAAGCCGTAATGTGAGCATTACTGCGTTCCGGTTTTGAATGGTTAAGGGTGCTGGTGAACTTACAGGCACATGGGACTTGTCAACTTATGTCTCACGGTGACGGGCGCAGTGGCAGATCTTTGTATTTTAAAGCTTCAATACGTGATTTCAACTATGATTTTCAGGCTTATGATATTTTTTTCTAGAAAACACCTCATTATAAAATGTGTTAATGTGCTAATATTTGCATTGTTCATTTATATTTATGGTTATATTTTCAATGTTGTATGTTATTTTTTGTACATTAAATCACAAGGAATATTTTATTTTATGAGATATATTTTACTGATTTATATTTTAAAATATATTTTTCTTCTGTCTATGTTATTTTAGAATATGCAACGCTTTACGAAGTTGATCAATAGTAACTGCCTGATTTTTCCGATTTTATTTCTTTTTATTGGATTTATATCGACAGCTCATTGTCAACTTCAATGAAAAAAATTTTTTTAAATTAAAGTTAAACGCTACTAGTTTACAAATATGATGAACCAGCATCTTTTCTAAGCGAATTAAATACGTAATTAAACAAAAATACATGACAAGTTAACAGCTATATACGTTCACATACGAGTTACATGTATATGCACATTCTCTACTATCTTGTCACTTATTTTCGAAGAGATAACACAAATTACGTACATTTATGGATTTGTTATAAGATAATGACTTTGTTAAACTACATTAAATGAATTGTTATAGTTAATTTCTACAAGACGTTGTTTTGATGTTATACAGGGTGACATTTAATATTTGGTAATAAAAAAACTAATTAAATAATACAATCTCGCATCTTAATGGGTACTATACCGTCGGTTGAACATTCGAGAAAAGGTTTTCTTTCTCTATAAAACCCCTTAATCATTGTTATACCTCAAACGCATGTTCGGTCACTCTGTATAAATTCAATTACGCATTGACAGATTATAATCTATATAAAATACTACAGTAGATATGGGTCATAACTGACATTTTCAATTTATCATTAATTTTTGGTTATTTTTATTACAACTTAAGTACGAAGAACCAAATAATAATTAGAAATAATACAAAATGTCCATTCTGTAGCTCACATTAATAAACCTAAAGTAAAAATTTAAATCTTTTAAACAGTGCTGTCTTATACATTTATAGTGTCACCAATTTACGTAAACGACAGTAACTTTACCATGCTGCTTTACGACAAATGAAATTTCAGTTACCATGATTTTTTAGCAACTTTGCGTGGACAATAGAGACGATACTCAAGACTTGGCTGCATGGTTTTAAACTTTGATTTTTCCTTAACGGATAGGATTTAAAAAGTTATAATAACTTAGTGGCTGTCTATGGGGCTGGCAGTACGGCTTAGACACCTTAGGGACAGCGCAAAAACCGCCGGACGGCAGGTAGATGACATTTAATGTATATTTTATGCAATTTCAATAGAAATTGAGATTGCAATGCTCTAAGTCTCGGAGCACTGTGGGGCATTTCTCTCTGCGTCTCAGAACATTGAAATATGTACCGTTTTCAATGTTTAAAATATACATTGGTATAATGGCTTGCTCTGTCCCTGAACCTGTTCCGAAAGACGAAAAAATTAAGAGATTTTACTATCTATGGGGCGAAGCGGTGACAATGAATGACGAAACGTGTGACGTGATAATAAGGGTGTTTTACATTGACGTCGACGTGGTCGTGTGTCGATTTTAATGAATATTATTAAAATCGTGCTAAATATAAGATTAAAGATCTAGAAATGTGAGCAGGCGGAATCACGTTAACTTTGAATTAGACTTGTACGCGAAATTAAAAAAACGGAATTTTTCCACGCGGATAAATTTGACAGGCATAAAATCGGTGTGGCGTGAATTGTTTTATTTTAATAAATATTTCAATACAATATTTATGTACAATTGAAATTTAACTGAAGAACGTTTATTTTTATGTGATTTTTTTGCAAAGATTCTTTGAGTTGACTATTTTTAGTAACAGTATCGACGTACTTGCTAAAGTACAATTTAAAATATAAAAAAGCTTTGTAAACTAATTTATACAGTAAATGTTGATTTAAACAATATGATAGTGTTTTTTAACACTTGAAAAATATACGCCAAGGCGATTTTACGCCGATCACGGCGCTACCGCCGACAATTTTACGATCGGCCAATTTCAAATTTCAAAATTAAAATTTTGCAAGAAATTGAATTTAAAACTACAATTACATACAAGTCGTTGTAGAATAAATTACTTTGTAAATTAAGTTGCTTTTGTTACTATTTCAAATCAGGTGCTACACTTAAACTTGTTTATTAATAAAAAGGAAAAGCAAGCAAGTTAACTAACGTAAACGACTAGATAACATCAAAAGCAAAATAGTGTTTGAAAAAATTGACTTACAATATTTTTTATCACTTACAAACTATACATTGGGTGTGACAATTCTGAAGGACGTTTCGGCAACTAAAATAAATTTTGCTGGTCTGAAAAATATTCTTCATGTAAGTAGTTAGTTTAAAGTATACTTTTCAAACCGAATATGGCGAATACTTAAGGATCACATTGCCGCTGGACGAGCGACTGACTTGCATTGTGACATAAAATAATCGAATGCAAATAGCTACATCAGGCTCTGCGCCATATACGTTGTCAAATGACATAGATGTGCGTCGCCTACAAGCATAATCAACTTTTTGTCAATTCTGTAACGATCGTACGGTGAATTCCTGTTATCGTATGTAGCTCTACGTTTACCCAAAATTTTGCTTCCATTACATCACATGGCAATGTAAATTGAGCTATATATATAAATATTTGTAATGAAATTAACTCCGCAATTTCAGTTTCATGGTAGTAGGAAGCAAAGTTTTCTTTATTTATTCATTGATCATTATTGTGAGCTAAGGAAGTAGTTTTTGATAAATAGTTTGCCAAAATTGAAACGGTGTAAATGCTCACGATATGAATTGAAATCATCGTCACACACAGCGCATTTGCCTTACAAGGCTTGGGAATAATTTTAACACACTTTTTATGGTTCAGACGCCACTGCTACCTATGTGGCTTTACCTATAGTTAATAATAATAATAACGCAGACACTCAATATAGCCCCGCACTAGACAAAGCCTGTGTCGCGGGTGCCATGGACACACATAGACAACCACAAATTACACCCAAACTCACGGGAGAAATAAATGTAGGCCATACGCATATCTCTTCCAGTCTGGGTATCGAACTCAGGACCTCTGCATGGCAGTTCGGCATGGTAACCGTTCGACTGCGGAGGCAGTTTAGGGTATGTGGGGCACATGGGCGCAGGCGTCGAGCGCCACTCGCGAGGCTAGGGCTATTGCTTCCCAACATCATTTAAAATTGCACCGTTTGCACCCGAATTTCCGATCACTGGGGAAAATATAACTGTAAGTATTTCATTTTGATCGCGTGCCTACTAGAGGGCGCCAGGCTAGCGCCGGCGTTGCCTGTTGAATGCTTTATGATGCGAGTGACTTGCGCTTACTTATAGGTTTCCGCTTGACTCGCATTGGCCGTAAGTTTTGCTCTATACTTAAGTGTAGCTTCCGGCTAACCGGCAGGTAGGTAATGTGTACCTAATATCGTTTTAATTAATTATTAGTATTATTTTCAAACGTTTAAGACTAAGTACCTATACTTATTTTTAGTGTTGGTAATTTTATTAGATAAGCAAAATTAGTTTTAGTTTATGCACATCAGAATTGTCACTCACCTAAAATTACACTTAGACATCAACATTAGAGAATTCACTAAATACAATTAATTATTTTCTTATACAATGTAATTAATAAGCGTAATAGATCAAAACATTAATGTTTTTTATTTATTAATTCTCTATTTATCTCCACGAGGCGATATTAAGCCACTGAAAATTGCTTTATTTTGTCATTCTAGGGATTTATCGTCTAGCTCCACTATAAAGTTGTATCATTACGCGATCCCGATAATCGTATCTGGATGTGTTTTCCCAGAAGCCCCATATAATTCGTGTTTTAGAACAATTCATTAATTCGTAGATTTTAGCTATACTTGCAAACAGTTAGAGTGGTTCATCATTTTCTGACCTATTATTATCGCAATAGTACTCGTATATTTGTGCCGTACCCAATGAGATGACGGATATCGACTTAAAGTAAGTCATACTCGATTGTATTAATCATTTATTGGGTGTGCACTTCTCTTTCTAATTATTTTTAAATTTTGATTTGTAGCCTTGGATTCTTCCCTCATTAATACCATAATCCACAACCCATTTAAAATTAATGAATAAAAACACTCCAAACTCCCGTAATACAAGAAGTATAAAAATAATCTCTGATCGTTTTTAAACCGTGCTTAGTTTTTTATTCAAAGTCAAAACTTTAATTTAATTAAAAAACAATGCACGATAACTTAATTCGAACACGATAATGCGTGCCGTAACACAAGGTGAGTGTTCACCCTCAGAGCTGTCAGAGATTATTTTAATAGACCAGTTTAAATTTTTCCTTTATACTCCACCATAACACTACTCTGTACCACAAATACCATTAAAGATATTAGTGAAACAAACTCGCGTTATGTATACCATTTTTCCCTTAATTACCCTTTTTTTAACTAATCTTTGTCACTTCTTAGGTAAACGAAGCACAGGTCCAATCATTAACACGATATTCTGACTTAGGTGTACTGGCGGAAATTTTTTAGCACGCGCTGTTGATAGTCTAATCTGTAACATCAGCAATCTTTGACTTCAAACGTTTGTCCCTCGTGTGCGGGGTCACCATAATCTTTATCATCATATTCGAGGTCACGACCGTTTTTGACAGAGTCGACCAGAGGGCCGTATAGCTTGACGCATAGTATTTGATGGTAGTTTTCGAGTGCCAGTGCGAGGACTGACCCTCCTAGGAGTACTTCACATGATGTTATGCGTTCGGGTGGCGTGTACACTGCTATCAGTTTGCCTGTAAAAAGAAAATAGCTTTTAAATAATCTTAAAGCTAAAGACTTTTTTGAAGACGAAGTCAAATGACATTTGTAGGGTTGCCAGTTTTCATAAAATTTTAAATAGTCATGTACGATGTACCCTACTGCAACCTCTGCCGTCCGTTATCTAAAACGCGGGTAAGCGACAAAATAATTTTTGGAGATATTATAGAAAACCATAACCCACTTTTAGAACGTTGAAATTGTTTTATGATAGGTATTTCAGCTTTGCATCGTTAGGGTAAGTTCCGATAAGTCGAACACGTTAACTAACTTTAACTGTCTTGAAAAGAGAATCTTGTGCTCTATTTTTTCACTTAGCCGCGCTTTGTTTAGTGGACGGCAGACCTGTACACTACCTGTATGCAAATGCAATAGTCATGTATACTACCTGTATGCAAGTCCCAAAGGCGGACAGATAAGTCTTTGCAAGTATCGTCTGTGGACATAAGTACGCCGCCCGACTTGGCCAGCCGCAGCAGCGACGGCGCCGCGACATGCCCGCGAAGTGTCAGACGGCAGTTACCTGGAAATGACCAAATCTTTAATTTAGAATAGAGGTTCAACTCCTAGTAACAGTAGAACTCATTGTGAAAGATTCCGAACAAGGACCTTACCCATCTTACCTAAGTCTGCTGTCTAGTAGTAATGTAAGCATTATTGTGTTCCGGTTTTGAAGGGTAAGGGTGTTGGTGAAATTACCGGCACATAGGACTTGCTCAACTCATGGTGATGGGCGTAGTGGCAGTGCCTCTTAGATCTTTGCGATTTGAAGCTCTGAGTGGCACGCCAATTGTTATGTTATGGACAAGCGTGTCGCTTAACACCAGGCCGACTTGTCCGTTCCGTCACTTGCGTCCTGGGGGTCTACTCTCGATCTCCGTCCGACATCCGTCCGAAACAATTACTGTCAAATAAGTAATATTCGACAAAATTAAAAGACAAGTATCCAGTATGAAGCTTCATTCGCATCACGCGTCTTTTCATTTGGTCAAGTATTGCTTATTTGGCAGTAATTGTTTCGGACGGATGTCGGACGGAGATCGAGAGTAGACCCCCTGATTTTGATTCAAATTGAAATCGATCCGATAGGGTAGTCTCGAAATCAGATGGGTTTCTGAGCGAGAAGATGAACCTGATTCCTACTATATCTTTCTAATTTGTGAGTTAAATCAACTATTGTTCCGATTAGAAATGTCAAAGTTTCAGATCGGCCAGTTGTGAATCGCAATTATGCGCCTCGACTCGGAAAAGACGCAGTTTCCGATCGGAAGAGGCAATCAAAATCAAGCTGTTGGTGTTCATAAACAAGTCTTATTAACACTGGCACTAATATGAATTATTTAATTAACTATAACTCAACTACACTAACTCAAAAGGTTTAGTTCGTAGGCTGTCTATATTTGAATTGCCTAGTAGCTGTATAGTCTCTATGTTCGCGTGATTATGAAGTGTAGGTATGCTCCTAAGCTTCGGCTTGTAGTCTATCAATATGGTACTTTTCGGTACTGTGTCTGGTTGTTTATTATTATCACCAGCATGCTGATCCTTCAAACGCTCACATTACTGCTTGACAGCAGAAATAAGTACACATGAACGAGGTGTCTTCCCCTTAACTAATATAAAAAATATGTTGTCGATGGACAATTTCTTTATATAAATTACTTTTCTTTTAAAATATTATGTTATATTAAAATTGCTTGGTAGTCTTGGAAAATTAGAATTGGCTAGATTGTAATTCCTTGTTTTGCTTTATGATAATAAAAAAAAAGTAAGGTAGGGACGTACCAGTTACCAAATCCCAAACCAAGATTCTTGTGTCAGCGAGACCAGAGACAACGCAGCCATCGATAGAACTAATTGCTAAGGCGACAGTGTCGCATCCAGGCTTCCATTTCTTGAATAAGGTTCCTGACTGCAAGTCGTACACCACGATGAAGTTCGGCCCTGGCTCGTCCAGCTCACGGGATACCACGCAAACATATGAACCTAAACACACCAAATTCACAATAAATTTATAGTAGTTAGGTTATTCCAGGCCTATTTTTCAGGTTATTTCATTTATGTTCGTAGCATAGAATTACATTTAACAATGTAATATCTCGAAATAACTTGTCAAGAATTTACACAATGTTATCTATAGTTGATTTTTTAATTATCGAGTGAAAAGTATTTTTTTAGTTTATTTCATGACCTGATTTATTTTTATTTATTTCATTATTATCAAGTCTTTCAGTCGAAATATAGATATA